ATGTAACTACCGAAAATGCATACAAGTCCCACCTTAATTATTTAGCATGCAAAACGATAGTAATTCACCATGTACGAACAATCCCCATGACTAGGCCATAGCATGCAGTTTATCATCCTACCGCAACCAAATCCTAGGTCCAATCATGCTTTTACGTACTAACGACAACAATCAAGCTCAACCGTTCGTGATGCAATGCTACCACTAAAATGAAATTAACCATGCAATACATATAAAATACATATAAATTCCTCGGGTGTTTGACTCATCAACACCCGAACGCTCACTCATAGAGTATATGCGGTGACTAGCCTTTATCACCGAACGGACTCCTTCTCCATGGAAACTAATTGAACTGAAGCTAAGAAAACATTTTCTTAACTTAAAGATCGGATCAATCTAGAAAAGGGTAAGGAATTTATGGAAAAACACCAAGTCTTACCGACACGCGTTACCCTAGCTACCCGCAGATTGATCTTCTTCGATACGTTTTCTCAAAACTCAATCTAAATGAAAATCGACAGAGTTTGGGTAAAGACCGCGTAAAATGTTCAAGAAATGTGGGTTTTGGGTCAGTATTTATAGGCTAGGGGTAAGGGTCTCGGCCAAATTAGGGTTTGGACACGTTGAGGCAGTTCTGTCGCACGTCAGACACCTATCTGATACGTGCCCAACACCTGGCTGACACGTGTCAGTAGCCTCTGCTGTCCAGCGCGGGGACACCTGACGGACAAAAACCTACCCGCGACCCGTGCTCAACCCACTGTCTCAACCCGGATGCGTAAAACTCTACCCGCGGAGTTTCTCCTTGACCCAAAATTATATTCAATTGATAGATTTCAGATTTGCTTCGACCAAAACACGTCCTAGGACTTTCTTAGTCTGGTCCAAGTTGAATTTCTCCAAGGCCGTATTCTTGGAAGAAAAATCTTAAATCCCCCCCCCGCGGCCGTCTCGACTAGGCCATGACCAACCCAAGGTCTTCCGGGCACTCAACTTAAGCTCCATCTCCCTCGATCCAGATTATTCCCATAATCTGCCTTAAGGAATTTCCACTCACTTGATGGTCCGTCGGCTTTGCCGATTCGGTCTTAATCAATGCTGGTCAAGCCATTCCAAAGGCCTACCGCATCCTTCCTTAGCATTTTCCTTCAATATCTTTTTCTTTCAATGTCTTCCCTTAGCCGTTTCAACATTCTAGGCCTTGTTTCCCGAAACTTTTCACATGTGGCAACTCTACCGTTGTTAGCCCTTACAAGGGTTATTACACCCGATGTCAT